CAGGTTTCTTGACATCCTTTCAAACTGCCATCCACGGTTGGTTAGCAAGATCTGCCAGTGAGAGAAAGTTGGGTGACTGGCGTCGTTATTCGGTTAGGCTCGACTTCCTTGTCTCCTTTCAAGCCGTTCTCCGGACTGCTCTCACACGACGCCGATTCCAACGTTTGCGCCTCAAATTCATACCAGTCCACCTTTTTCACTTCTCTGCCATCATTCAAGAAGCTCTCCGTGGAAATCAAGTTGGACAATTCACCAGCCTTCTATTTCTGCTTTTCCCCTATGTAGAACGATATTTGCGAATGAGAGCAGAAGCATATCTTTGGTGCTTTATCATTGCTGTTTGGGGTCTAAAGTCTTATATACAGGTGTCCATCTGTCATATTTGGAGCAGCATATGTGTATGGGGCTTTTACTGTCCTACCGCTCCCATGATGGATATTTTTCGAAAACCATACTTTGGAAGGACGACTCCATCTCGACTTAGTTTGGGAGGCTTTGCTATCATTTTCACCCTCTTTTGGTTTACCCTCTGGTATCAAACGAAAGTTTCTGATGTACCAATGATGATGGGAGATTCACCTCGATTTCGCCGAGTTGTTGGAATCGGTCTGGCTCACAATAGATACTTGTAACAGATCCAGTAACCAGGATATTCTAGTACATACCAATTATAATTACAAACATTTGTGTGCATATATTACGGTGACAAACCACTGTGCACTGGTAGTCTAGGAGGAGGTAGGTCACGGTGTGTTGGAGGATCACCGACGAATGTACCTCAACGAATGCAGGTCGCCGATGGTTGAGGTGACGCGGCCTGTCCCCCCGCGGCGCCATCCAGCTTCAGCCAATTATCAATCCGTCATACTTGCAAGATTATCTCCTGTTTTCGGCGTTTGTACCATTACTACCAAAATGCTGCTTAGCGAAACCACACACAGTAAAGCGGGCGAAGCAAACCTTATGGCCCATCAAGCACTGTCTTATGACTGCGCGCATACCATTTCTCAAAGTTTCCCTCCCCCACACCTGCGTTTCCTCATCTCGGAAAAGTCGAGTTAGATGATGACGAGGCGTCCGATATCCTTTGTCTGGTCTTTCCGCGCTACTTGCGCCAGAAGCAGGGCTGCGCGCTTCTCGTTGGGCCATTTGCCACGTTACACGTACTTAACGCTGGCACCTGAGTTGATCGATGTGTCGCTTCTC